ATACAAAATTCCAAGCTTATCGGTGAACAACCACAAAACAAATAAAATCACACTAACGGGCCACACTAAAGCGGTCAAAACACTATCGTAAAAACCCTGTCGGAGAGTTAAATTCTCCGAACAAAGTAGACCTTAGTAAATACTAAGATCCGGTAAGTTTGTGAAATAACTAATGTTATTTCACGACTCAACGCAAATAAAATCGTGAGCAACACAGCATTTCAAAAATTTAAACCGCGCCTTAGCTCACAAGTTCTCAGGTCAGGTCAGGTTGCACAGAACTGGTAGTGGCCACAGGCCAATCAAGCGTCCAGAATTCCNGAAAAAAAGGACTTTACTTTTCGCCGTGACGGCGAGAGACTTTCATTGTGAAAGTGTTCCATATTACATGAAAATAATGAATGCACCTAACATTCTATGTCAGGGAAGACCTCCAACCATCTGGCGTCCAGGGCTCTTTTAAAGGCTTGGACGTTTGGCTGCATAATCAGTTCCATCGGTAGCTCATTCCAATTATCCAATACCCAATGAATAAAGAAATGTGCTCGTAAGTTCATGAGTGTGAGCTCATGTCCACGCGTTCCTTGGTGGGGAGTCTAAGGGAAGAAAGTCCCAGGATATAAACACAGCAAACTTTTCTTAATTCCAAATACTTCGATGAGGTCTCCGCGCAATCTCCTTTTTTCTAGTGATAAAGACCGAGCGCGTACAACCTCTCTTTGTATGTTTTTCCCCGCATACCTTCAACCATCCGTGTCGCTAGTCTCTGAATCCGCCCAAGACAGGCTGCGTCCTTTTTGTGGAAGGGCGACCAAGCCTGAACACAGTATTCTAGGTGAGGCTTTACGATGGCTTTCCTACACGAAACTGCTCATCTTAGTCGAAGCAGCTGTCGTCATGTGTGCTGCAGCTTCACATTGGGTACTCCTACTGTAATCTGCAGTTACGATGACTCCTAGATCCCTGGCACTAGTTACAGCGCCTACTTCAAATTGCCCCCAGTCCCCGAGAGCCTTCAATGGTTCCCTAGTTCTAGAGAGAAACTGACTGTTGCATTTAGTGGCAGATCCCATGTGTGGGACCACTCGACTACCTTCGCAATATCCTCTTCTAAGTCGGCTCTTCCACTAGATCCAACCAGCTTTACATCAGCGAAGATGAAGCAAAATAAGCTGGTAATTTCTACTAGATCATTTATGAACAGCATAAATAGAAGCAGACCTAACACCGACCCTTGTGGCACGCCACTAGTGACATGGAGGACTTAGGACGTTTGTTCTTCTACCCTAACCCAGAATGTCCTATTTTTCAAGAATGTTTCCTTCAATTTAAATATTGTTTTTGTGATTCCGAAAAAACTTATGTAGAAGCAATCTGTGACTTACGGAATCGAACACCTTACTGAAATCTAGGTAACATACTTCTACTTTTTTGCCTTCGTCTACCCCCTTTGTGACTTCGTCTAGGTAGCATAAGAGTTTTGTCAGGCACGACCGGTTTTTTATAAAGCCTTGCTGGGCCACGCTACGTAATGCATACTCTACAAGGTGGATACAGATATGCATCCTGATTAGCTTTTCCATGCACTTGCATAGAATACTAGTTAAGTTAACCGGTCTGTAGTTCTGCATGTTGGATCTACTACCACCTTTGTGTAACGCCACCACAACGGTAGTTTTCCAGTCACTCGGAAGCACCCTCTCCTCCAGTGACACTTAAAACAGCATCCTTAAGGAGTCCGCTAAGATTTGAGCAAGTGGTTTAACGATGGCAGGATGTATACCATCTGGACCCGGGACCTTATTGATGTCCAAATCCCCAAGCAACTTTCGCACCTCCACTGCAGATATCTGCATCTCCCTTATGCTCGGTGGAAGAGAGTTCGGGGATCTAGGTTCCAGTGTCCTGTTATCTAACCTATGAACACCAGCAAAATAGTTCCCAGTGCTACTGCCTTGCTCTGGTCTTCTGCCGCAATCGTGTTGTTTTCCAGAACCAAGGCACCTTTGGCATCCCTCAAGTTGCGTTTGGATTGGACGTACCTGAAAAACCTTTTCGGTTTCTGCTCAACGTTTTTAGCTAACCTTAGTTCATATTTTTTATTTTCTACTATTATAAGACTGACTGCCTTATTCCTCTGGACCGTATAGTTTGTCCATGCCAAATGGGTGCCGTAGTGTCACCAGCTTCTGTTTCTTTTCCTTGGTGCTCTCCTTATTGCTAGAGACCACTATGAAGGCTTATTACAGCCTTTCCGTATTTTGAGGGGCGCGAACTCGTCTTGGGGTTCTTGTAGGTTACTTTTGATTCTATGCCAGAGGACCTCTGTGTTTCGTTTGCTGAAGGGTAGCTTGCTTATTGCTAGACTCTTTTCGGCCACAGACAAAAAACGCAAATGCTCGGTAGGAACAGCTCTCTCAAAATATGGCGCAGGGAAACGCCAAGTATGAGCGGGCACCGGCTACGAGTAACCCAAAGCAAACACCAAAGAAAACAAAGACGAAACCGACGTAGAGGCTGTCTGAGGTTATTCGAGGGACAATAAGGAAGGAAAAAACGACCTGAAGATAGAAATGGCGAAGATGCAGGTCACCACTGACGGGGTATTGACAAGGAGCAGAAGACTTCTGTGGCACAACTGCGTAGAACCGGCGGTGATTGATGCAAGACAAATTAACGACAGACACATAATTAAAGCCTTTACACTGGCAGAGCTGCCACCAGACACAAAATATAATAACTATGAGAGGATTGGACTTTGGAGGGGTCCCAAGGAGCACCATCTCCGTCCACTGTCGACAGTGTTCTGTGGCGTTCGAAGCAGAGACCCGCTTTTGGAAAGGGCTGCTAGAGTGGAAATGATCAATAGAGGATACTTGAGAATCCCACCAAATTCTCCTCCTAGTGCCAATGATGCTGAATCATGACATGTGTATACAACAACACAGCCAAAACTGAAAGAACCAGTTATGCGCCTCTACAAACGGAGTAAGGAGCCCCTCAACAAATCTACACCGAAGGCAAAACCTGCTGCCGGTAAAGATGGGACGGCAGCGGCCAAGGTCAAAACAAGTGTGAATTGTACACTTGCCACAAGAGTTTCTACAACAGTGGTCCAAGAAAAGCAACAAATCAGAGTAGGTCAGTGTGGTAATCCAGACTTCCGTGACCGCAATCCATGCACGACCAGGTACAGTTTTTATGTCATCCAATCACCGTTCAGAAAGCTGGACCAATGGTACACCGGGCAAACATGACATACGAGTTAGTACACATGGTGCGTCGGTGCAGACGGTTACGTGATTGAAAGATGCTCGTTCAACTAATCACGTGGACTATTACATTCTATAAAACATGATCTAATTCCATCAATACTAATAAGCATTTGCTGCTATCAATTCCTGGTGTATTTCATTGGTGTCCGCAGTTCGAGTTGAAGCCAATTCAGTTCTGAGCAGTACAGTACGGGTTCTTGTATACCTACATTTAGTACTATTCTGACTACTACAATTTGGCGTCGCGCAATGGAGATTCCTGTCATTGAACCACTGAATCTGCACGGAAGCCCATCAGAAATCGAAGAGTGGGTAGAACGTTTCGAATTCTGGTGCAGCATCCGGAAAGGATAAATGCAAAATCAATCGGTCCTATTTTTGACGTTGGGCGGCCGAGAGCTGTATTCCGTGTTGAAGAATCTAGCGTTTTTGAATGTTCCTTCTGAATTTCCGTTCGAGAAGTAGAAATCCGTATTGCTGGACCACATTCTTCCAGTAAATTTTCACCCACTAAACGGGCCAAATTCAACTCAATCATTAGAGCTGCCAACATACCGTGCCGTGAGTTTATTCTCCAGTTGAACAAACAGGCGTCAAAATGCAACTATGTTGACCGAGTGGAAGAACAACTTTGTGACCGTCTCATTGCTGGAATCAACGACATCTCATTACAACTTAAGATGTTGGAAAAGAAAGATATCACGTTTACAGAGGCTCGAAAAGTCCGTGAGCAAATTGATGATTTCTATGCTGCCACAAATGCGGATAAACCTGCGTTATTCCATCGGCAATCAACGTAACCATTACGTGACGCACCCCATGTTCATAATTCACCCCAGGTTCCTCAAGTACCCAGTTCAAGCCCAACACAACCGAAGGCTGCGACCAACCGTTGCCTTTCATGTGGTGAATACCATCTTCGTTCGACTTGTCGATTCCGTAATGCCACTTGCCATGCATGCGGTAAGATGGGCCATGTCTGAAAGGGTTGCTGAATGCCCAATTGCAACCTCATCGATTCCCATATCCCAATGGCAGATGAGAACTCAAACCCAATCTACACGCTGCACACCACTGAACCCAATGACCAGTTCGTGTTCGCCTTACTGAAGTTCGAGTCTAGTGTGGAGCATCACTTCATCATGGAAACAGGAAGCAGCGAATCTATCCTACCGAAATCAGCACTCACTGCGATTCCAGCGATCGAGAAAGGGTGGTCACCAGAGGTGCGCATTCATGGGATTACTGGTCATCAGTTGCAATTACTTGGCGAAACGATGTAATGCGTTCAATCCGAATCCGGTGTATCAATCCCAACCCCATTCCTGGTATCAGCTGACAGTCCGTCTATTCTGGGCCTTCGAGCAATGCGGCTACTGCAAGGATCAATCACACTACATCAATCACACACTACATATCAACAACGATATGCCAATCACCTCACATCTTCAACATTTGATTGTACAGTGTTCCGGTAACGTT